TCTTTTCCCTGGCCACTTTTTTGTATTCTCTCCTTGTCTTTGGTTTTGGAGAGCTTGATTATTATGTGTCTTGGTGATTTTCTTTTGGGGTCTGTCATTTCTGGGGTATGTTTGGCTTCTTGAATGTTTATCTTCTCATCTGTCAAGATGTTAGGGAAATTTTCTTCCCGAAGCTCTTATTCTATCTCCCCTGTGGACTTCTCTGATTTTTTCTCTTCTGGAATGCCAATAATTCTTAAGTTGTTCCTCTTCATGTTATCCAGCATGAATCTTAGACTCTGCCTAACTGGTGGTTGAAGAGGGTAAGGGCTGTATGCCTGCAGTTGCTGTCTCCTTTCAGTTGAAGCAAAAAGAGAAAACATTCTCACAACAGAGAAAAAGAACAAAAAGAAACAAAAACAGAAAAAATTGAAATAAAAATGTAACTGGAAAAAACAACAACCATGAAACAGTAGAAAATTAAGTGCAATTCTCTGTACCACCTACTGGCTTTTTGTCTTCACAGCCACCTGGGAAATTTTAAGATGGTTCTGCTGTGCCTCTCTGACTTAACACCAGTCTTTTTCTTTCCTCTTTTTGAACCCTCCATGTCTAATCAGTTGCTTTTGGTGAGAGCTAGCCCAGGGCTGGCCAGGACTGATTTTGAGCAGAGCCTGCTGGTTTGGCATGGTTCTGGCTGTCTTCTCCTCCTTAAATTATGTTCCTATTCATAGGATCCATGTGGGACCCTCCCTGGGGTTGTCCACTTGTACAGGTCTCTGGCCACCAGGGGCATGTAAAGAACCAGAAAAGAAAAGGGAAGAGAGAAAAAAAAAAAAATTGCACCCTTGTTATTACAAGTCACAATCAGGCTTCTGCAAAGAGAATGCTTTCTTGTCTCAATCTGCTCGCAACATTCAAAATGGCTGCTACAAATACCTGCTGCTGTAACCATGCTGCCACCACCTGTCAGTCTTCCATGCTTTCTATCATCCCTTCCTGTTCTGGAATTCTGATCAGTTATTCCTCTTCATGGTTTCTGACATAACAAGTAGTCTTTCTTCAGATTTTTTCATTATTTTTCTTACTGTTCTTCTAGCTTTCTATTATTGAGAAATTTATCTTCAAGGTCACTAGTTTGATCTTCATTGACTGAAATCTTTTCCTTTGTCCTTTCAGTGTATTTGTTATTTCTGAGATATTAGTATTAATCTTCTGGATATCTGCTTTCAGGTTTTGTATTGTTTCAAAATTTGCATTTATTTTGACTGCACTTGTGGTGTTTTCCCAAATTCTTCTAAAGTGCTTTCTGTGTTCTCCTTGCACTTCTATGATTTTTATGTCAGTCCATAATATCAGTACCTAAATACCTAAATATCATACTTTAAAATTCTTTCTCAGGTATTTGTCTTTCAGAATTTTTTTCTGGTTCTACATCTTGGTCGTTTGTTTGAGCCACTGTCTCTTGTTTCTTCATGTGAGCTATAATCATTGTTTGTCTCTAAGACTTTGTGGTGTCATTATATTTGTAGTTAATTGATGATTGCATTTTGGTGTGCTGTTAGGATTTCACCAAGTGTCTCCTGGTGGGTGTGATTAGAGAATGGAAATGTGTGCACTACTTTCCATTCACTGTTCATGAAAGCTCAGTATAGGGTGGGTTTGGCTGGTAATTGATTGTCTGATGTCTATTATTGATCAGGTGGAATATATATATATATAAATGAACTAGTACTGCCTCTTTCCCAGCAGGTGGAGTTTCAGAGGGTTTAGTTGTAGTTGAGTTTTATGGGCATGGTTGCTGTCTACTGTTGGGTGGGGCAAAGGAGAAAACACACACAGAAACAAAACAGAACAAACAAGCAAACAACAATGAAAACATAATACATTTAAGGAGGAATAAATGTAAATGGGAAGCAACGATAAGAAAAGAATATAGTAATTAGACAGACAAAACAGGACAGGAAAATAGAGCTGTACAAGAGAAAAATAAGAGTGACAATATAAGGAAGTGAAAAAAAACAGCTGAAAGCATAGAAGAAGATGAAAAGTGAATGAGACTAGAGAGTAATAAATAAAAATTAAGAGAAAAAAAGGAGAAGAAGGTAGAAATGAGAAACAGGATAAAAGAAGAAAAAACAAAAATGGAGATAGAAAGGATAAAAATAAAGGGAAAGGAAGGATAGGAAGAAGTAGAAGGAAGAATAAAGAAACAAAAATAATGAAAGGGAAAATAAACAAACAAAAAAATTAGTGCAGTTGTTGGACCCAGAGAGTAGGAAACTCACAGGTGGAGGTGGTCCCTGCCAGCCAAGGCACCTACAAGGTGGGTGAAGGAGGAATGTGACTTCTGAGTTTCCAGCCCTAGATAGAGTTCCTATAGGCCTAGGTGTTGTCTGTGTTCAGGGTTCCCAATCTGGAAGTTGTTTGTGGAGACCTTTCAGGTTGTTAGTTTCAGTGTCTGTCAGAACCAGAGGGCAGCTGGGAGCAGGATGACTAATTATGAAAGTTTTTGTTAGTTTAATTCTGGTGTGGCACTGCAGGATAATGTCTTGGACCACAGTGTTAATTCGAACCATAAGGTCTGCAGTTCAAGCCCACCAGCCAGTTCTTGGGTCAAACCAACTCAGTGGCACTTAACAACATCAACACTCCTGCCATGGATGCTGTATGAATTCTCTATGTAGATCTGGAGTAGAGTCCACCTGAATCTAGGTGCCAAGTTGATGTAGTGGGCATTCCCCTCATATTGGCTTAAACCATGTATCTCCAAATTCTCATAGATCAAGATCTGCACTGGGCTAGATGAGAATGGGGGCAAGCCTCATCTCTGTTATCATGGAAGTCTGGGAAACAAAAAGAAATCAGACCTTTTCCATTGCTTGTATGAATCTTGGCCATCAGATAGTCATCTCTGTGTTTCTCCAAAGCTGCTTTCAGAAATTCAGTATGGCTGCACTACATCTGACTGGAAGTCCCTTCACCAGCCAGTCTATTTTCACCATCTCTGCTCAGCTCAGGATTGTCTTCTGTGTCTGTTCCATTAGGTCTCCCATATCTTTGTTGAGGATCTCTGTAGCATGCATGTTTGCTAGTCTGCCAGCTTGCCAGGAAGTCCACTTGCTTTTATTTTTCAATAATTATATTTTTCAGATGATAGGTTAGTTTGGCCTGTGAGTAACAATGTGCTTGGAGTCAACTAATCTGTCTGGTAACTTAGTAAGAAATGGCCCCAAGTCAGGCCCTAGTCTCTATCCCTCATAGAAAGTCTAGAGAGGATAATGGACTACCCTAAATGTGGAGACTAGTTTAAATATGGAGAGGAGTCCTGGTGTGGCGCTGCGGGTTAATGCGCCAGACTGCAAAACCGTTTGAATTGCAAGGTTGGCGGTTCAAGCTCACCAGCTGCTCCTCAGAAACCCTATAGGTCACAGTGTGTCACAACCAACTGCACAACACTTAACAACAACAACAAATATGGAGAACTTCATATAACAGAGAAACAATGTTATTCGATTTTACTTTTACTAATCTACAAAACAACTGTCATGGTCAGCCATATACTTTTAAACTTGCTGGGAGAAGGTGGTATTCTGAGTTATACTCAGTCAGCTTTGGAGAGTAAAGGAATTATGAAAATGAGAGTCTGTGACCTGCCCAATTATGCTTCCTTATCCCAGTATGGCTTTTATGTCTCCTTGATAATGCCTTAATGCTTTGAATCTGAATTACTGTTCTAAGGTATGAGGAAAGGTGTGGATAAATGTAAAAGTGTTTGCCTGCTACCTCTGCCTGTGCCATCTTTTCTCCTACATCTTCGTTCCAAACCCTCCGTACACATGTCAGTCTTTGCTCACCTCCAGAGATTTTAAAAGCATTTCGTTAATATTTGTTGGTAAGAACTTTTCTCCAGGGTTAATTTTGAGGTTTACTATCTTCATAGCAATCAGATTTTTTTCACCATTTAAAATGTAAAGTGTATTTGTTTCCCATTTTCTTTACAGAAAAATGCTATGAATCCTGTTGTGTTAGTGCCATGAAGTCAGTTCCTACTCTTAGCACCCTGTATGGGATTTTCAAGGTTGTATATCTTTGTGTTAGCAGAAACACTCATCTATTTCTCATGCTGTAGATGGTGAACTTGAACTGCCAACCTTGTGATTTGAAGTCCAGTGCTTATCAAACAGAACCACTGTGCTCTTGCTATATCCTAAAATCTAAAAAGCCCCCAAGTTTCCATTTTGCAACAGCGTAAAAAAGAAGCAAAATGTTGGTTGCCAAACTGTTGAGATTCTAACTTTGAAAGTTACTAACTGTGTGACTCTTGATAAGACACTTAACTTCTTTGAGCTTTAGTTTATTCACACATAAAGTGGGAGTAATGACATATATGGAGTTCTGCAGCACTATAAGTTAATTCACTGGACTGCGAAGTCGGTTGAAAATGCAAGGTCAGCCGTTCAAGCTCACCAGCTGCTCCTTGGAAACTCTATACAATGTCACTCTGGGTGGGGACTGACTCAACAGCACTTAACAACAACAACAACAATGACATATATGAAAGGCACATGTTAATTCAAGAATGATGGTGCTCTGCTATTATTTATATACTTGTGTTTGAATAACTTCTTTATATAAACTAGGCACTCTGGTAACTGCATTCTATTTTACTTCATTTTATTTAGCTAATTGGAATTCCCCCAAACCAGAAGTGTTATTGTAGCTTCCAGAAGTGTTTGATTTACTCTGAATAAATTGCTAAGGCATTAGAACAACAAAAAAGAGAAATATAGAAAGTGAATTTAATTAGCACATATTTATTTTTGGTGAGCAATTGAATTCTGTGGTGTTTCTCTGATTGTTAATGTTTTATTCACAGGAAAGAATAAAATCTTTTCATCTATAATTTGGAAGCTAAATCAATAACAAAATGAAGCGTGCAAAACATCTGTCCTCCACTAATAACAAAACAGCAAAAGTTCCAGAATTAGATAAGAAAAGACTACTTATTTCTTCAGTGTCACCTAAACTAAAGGAAAAACATAAACCAAAATTAGTACATGACAAAAGTGAACCAATGATCCTGGGCTCTCCACCAACAGGAGAATCCATTGTAAGATATGCTTTGCCCATTCCATCGAGTAAGACAGAGGAGTTAATAGCAGAAGATGAAACGATCAGGAAAACTACCAAACATCTGAGTCTGGTAAGACACTTGTTGGTTCCTGTGATAGGGGTTCCCTATGCCCCCCCAGATTTGACCTTTCACTGGGAGGACTAGCAGGACTCAGCATATAATCACAATAACACTAAGATTTATTCTAGTGTCAAGATAAAGCAAAATCAGAAGGCAGAAATAGGACATGTGTTGAAATTTGGAGGGAATCAGGTGCAAACTCCAAGAGAACTCTCCTTTCAAGAGACACACCTGAATCTTCCAGAACTGAGTTGTAACAAGACTTGTGCAATGTTGTCTACTAGGGAAACTCGTTAGATATCCTGTGTGCAGTGTTGTTTTTTAATTGGGTTCCAATCTTCTGAGAATGTATTACAATTTTAGATTATCAGAAGGCAGGCATAAACCACAGTGTTTGAATAGACAATTTAGGCATAGTGAGTCATTCTTATCAATTCTGGGAATGATAAGAACACTTTTGAGGTCCAAGCTTCCTGATGCCAGTCAAAAGCCAACCTTATAGCCAGGCCTTTCTAAGGATAGCTATCTCATGCCCACTAATGGTACTTTTCTCTACATTTTAGAAACTGTTTCTTAGTGTTGACAATATCCCCTTTCTTGGAACTTTTGTTTTGCATGGTTAGTCAGGATTGACTTGTGGATTCCTTAAGTAGCAAGTGAGAACATTAAGTCAGAACATAAATATAAAAAGAATAGAGTTTGTCAAACTTTGAAAACATGTTTTCTCAAAGTTTGAGGGTTTAGCTCAGAGAATTTCCTTAAAAAATGTATTGCTTTCTGGTTGGTCGCCATCTATTTTCCTACTCTCTTTAGAGGAGAAGGTGAACTCAGTAGAAATTGGATAAGAACTTTGATAGTAAGTAGATGCTTCATTCATGTGAAGAACCACTCCCTTTTATCGATATATCACACAGAAATAGTAGTCAGAAGGTATCTCTATATTTCTAAAGCATATGGTGAAAGTCTTGCTTACAGCTTCTTTTTTCATGGGATATTAAAGGAGAATATGAGAACACAAAAAGTAAAATTTGTACCACTGACAGAAGTCTTCCTGATAAAAAGGCCCTGGCATGGTTGATTAAATATAATTTTACAGTTATTACAACTAATAGATATGATAGAAATGATGCTGGAGAGCGCATGATAGAATTCTGCAAAATCAATGATTTGTTCCTTTCAAATACCTTTTTTAGACAGCATAAGAGATGACTATACACATGGACCTCACCAGATGGAATACATAGACATCAAATTGACTACATCTATGGAAAGAGATGATGGAAAAGGTCCATATCTTCGGTCAAAATAAGGCCAGGGGCTGAAGAAAACGAAAACAAGTCCACGAGAGCCAAAATATGACCTTGAATATATCCCACCTGAATTTATAGATCATCTGAAGAACAGATTTGATACATTAAACAATAAAGCCCAAAGACCAGAAGAGTTGTGGGATGATATCAAGAACATCATGCATGAAGAAAGCAAACAGTCATTAAGAAGACAAGAGAGAAGGAAAAACTCAAAATGGATGTCAGAAGAGCCACTGAAACTTGCTTTCCAGCGTAGAGATGCTAAAGCAAATGGAAGAAATGAGGAGGTCTAAGAACTGAACAGAAAATTTCAAAGATCAGCTCGAGAAGATAAAGCCAAATATTACAACAAAATGTGCAAATATCTGGAATCAGAAAGCTGAAAAGAAAGAATATGCTCAGCATTTCTCAAGCGGGGGGAACTGAAGAAAAAATTCAAGCCTCAACTTTCATTATTGAAAGATTCTTTGGGCAAATTATTGAATGATGCAGAAAGCATCAAGAAAGATGGAAGGAATACACAGAGTCACTGTACCAAAAGGAAATGGTTAATGTTCAACTGTTTCAAGAGGTAGCATGTGATCAAGAGCCAATGATACTAAAGGAGGAAGTCCAAGGTACATTGAAGGAATTGGCAAAGAACAAGGCACCAGGAATTGATGGAATAAAAATTGAAATCTTTCAAGAAAGTGAGGCAGCACAGGAGGCACT